TCCTGGCCTCAAGCAATCCTCCTACCTCAGCCTCCTAGAGTGCTGGGATTACAGGCATGCGCCACTGTGCCCAGTCAGTTTGGTGATCTTAAGTGAATTTTGTTTTCAGGAACAGCTAAAGCAGTTTATTTTAGAGATCTTGAGAGAAAACACTGTGATACTTGAGAGCTTTGGGTTTTAATAGTAGTAGATATTGGTGAAAACGTATTTTGCCAAGGTTCAGTTCTGAGACTTTGAAGGTGATACTTGGTGATTATTAGATGTTTAAATAGATTTTCAAAGTGCAACAGAATATTAATGATTGCTTTCTGGTCTTCAAAATCCATGCTGCAGTTTCCATTCTTTTCACCCCATTGATAATGAAAGTGATGGATCTGAAGGGCCCCAGATCTGCTTCTCGCACCTGCCACCCTGGGTCCCGTGGCGTCTGGCGGAGGAGGTACTGTGAGGAGGCCTCCTAGGAGCTGATGTCTGAGCATTAATTTCTTCCACCAGGAGATCAGTAAATGGTCCCTTCCACCTGCTGCCATCCAAATTTGGAATTGGGATACCTCATTGATTTTTGCTTCTGCTGGATGAATTTTATAATCAGTCTCAAGGAGAAAGGAGATGGCATTTTGCATCACTGGTCTCTGCCAGCTTCTGCTTGCTGGGAGAGTTCACTTCATTCAAATTCAGACGGTGTCATTTTCCTCCTTTGAAAATTTGATGAGTTGCAGAGCCTCATGCCTATGAAACATTGGCTTGTAACTCTTTGGCCAGTTTCTAGATGGTGAACTTGTGAAATTTTAAAAAAACCAAACCCAAGTCAACACACAGAATGAATAAAGAAACTACAGTGCCATCTGCTGGCGTCCCAGGGAACCATGCAAGCGAAGACTAAGATAAGTCTCAAACCAGAGGATACAATTAATCAAAATGTATGATAATTTGAAGACGGTAGATACAAATAATGAAATTATAAGTCACTACTTTAGAGAAGAAAATACGATCATATTTTGCAATAGTGCAGTAGTGAGAACCTACCTTTTTCTGCATTTTAAGTTCTGAAGTATTTTTATGGTATTAAATATTAGTTTGGCAGAAAGAATGAAAAAAATGTTGTTTCCTCCCACCCCACGAACCATGCTTAACGATCTTAAAAACAAAAAGAGAGAAAAGTGGTTTGGAAAATTAGAAATGAGCCTTTGAATTTTTTTGAGAATAGAATTGAGATGTATTATATTCATTTTATCCAGATTAAGGAGAGTAAGACATATCTTGGAAAGACAACGTGTTAGCATCAGGTCGCCTGGTCCCTGGTCCTCTTTGACCCCCAAGTAGGTAAGAAACTGTGGGCCACTTCCTTAAAGTCCAGAGACCACAGTTTCCTGTAAAATTGGGATTTGGGTTAAATGATTGTAGAATTCCTTACAAATGGATATGGTTTAAGTCTGCAAAGAACTAAAGGAAAGTAATGTTTCTTTAGATCATTTTCCCACAAAAATATTTGTTTTAGAAAAAGTAAGCCTGGGCGCGTTGTCTCACGCCTATAATCCGAGCACTTTGGGAGACCAAGATGAGAGGATTGCCTGAGCCCGTGGGTTCGAGACCAGTCTGGGCAACTTGGCAAGCTTACATCTCTACAATAAATTTAGAAAAAAATTAGCTGGGCATGGTGGCGCATGCCTGTAGTTCCAGTTACATGGAAGGCTGAGACAGAAGGATCGCCTGAGCCCAGCAGGTCAAGGCTGCGGTGGCCAGGAGTGTGCCACTGCCCTTCAGCCTGGGTGACAGAGTAAGACTCCAACTCAAAAAAAAGAAAAGAAAAAGTAGAAGTTCACATTTGCATTTTTAATTTATTACTTAGTTAGCCAGTCTTATCCAGAGCTAGAGGTATTTGATATTTTTGATCCTTAACAATTAGGTCAAGACTTTTCCTAGTTCCTAAAAGTCAGTAGAGAAGCACTTGTGGGGTCCCTTGTGCTTACAGAAAGTATGCTTAATCATGCTGGTAGATCATGGCAGTTGAAGTAAGGGAGACTAAAGTATAGGACTGGAGCTTTGAATTCAAAATGCAACAGACTGGTGGGGTCCAGTGGCTTACGCCTGTAATCCCAGTATTTTGGGAGGCAGAGGTGGGAGGATAGCTTGAGCCCAGGAGTTTGAGACTAGCCTGGGCAATACAGTGAGGCCCCATCTCTAAATAAATAAATAAATAAATAAATAAGCAAACCAAGTGTGGTGGTGCGCGTCTGTGGCCCCAGCTACTCAGGAGGCTGAGGTGGAAAGATCACCTGAGCCCAGGTATCAAGGCTGTGGTGAGCCATGATGTGCCACTGCACTCTAACCTGGGTGACAGAGTGAGATCCTGACCAAAAAAAAAAAAAGCAACGGAGTAAGTTTTTTTTTAGAAATTTAAGAATTCAAACTTAGCTTACATGTTATTTATCTTTGAAGGATTTCCTGCCCTAATCCCCAGCCAAATAGCTTGCTTTTGTTTGGCTCATACTTCCTCTGTGGCCTTGAGCAGGTTGCATCTGTTGCTGCCCACCCTCCTCCTTTTTCTTCTCCTCCTTCCTCCTCCAGTCTCCTTTCCTTTTTTCCTTGGGTTTTTTTTTTTTTGAGTCAGAGTCTCACTCTGTCGCCCAGGCTGGAGTGCAGTGGCATGCTCACAGTCACTGCAGCCTCAACCTGCTCAGGCGATCCTTCCACCTCAGCCTTCCAAGTAACTGGAACTACAGGCGTGTGCCACCACGCCCAGCCGATTTATTGTAAAGATGAGGTCGCACCAAGTTGCCCAGTCTGGTCTCGAACCATGGGCTTAGGCAATCCTCTCACTTCAGCCTGGCAAAATGCTGGGATTATGGGCGTGAGCCACCACTCCCAGCCTCCCTCTCCTCCTTTCTTATCCCTCTTTGTTCCCGTCCACCTCCCTTCCTGACCTGTGAGTCCTGTTTCTTCATATTCATCCTTATATTTTACTCATCATGTTGTTCAATGCATTTTGGCTAAATGACTTATAATTTGAAATGGCTATCTCTTCAATGCCTTCTACATGGGTGGGAGGAAGGAGACGAGATCCTAGGAGCTCCATTTTGGCACACTTTGATACATTAGATTTTTCTTGCATTTTTCTGGACTCACAGCATAATCGTAAGGGGAAATAGCTCGAATTCAAATCTAGCGCTTGTCCTCTGCAACAGTTTGTCCCAGATGCTGTTCTTAGCTTCTACTATCCCCTTGTTTACAATAGAGGGCTTTCAGATTTTTGTGCTAGTCAAATGCAGTTCTCTCCTCTCAACCTTTGGGAATGGCAGTGCTTACAGGGCTTGGACCTTCCATCCTGAAATGGTGCCCAGTAGAAATCCAGCACCAGTGCAACTCTACTAGGGTGGCAGCTTATTAAATGTGGTTATCTTAAATACCCAAGGTCCTGTTATCTGCAGGGTAGGCAGAAAACCACTGTTAGGTGATTGGATGTTCTGCTCCTCTTACTCTAATTTTTTTTTTTTTTTAAAAGAGATGGGGTCTTGCTCTGTTGCCCAGGCTGGGGTGCAATCATAGTTTACTGCAGCCTCAAACTTTCCAGTTCAAGCGCTCTTCCTGCCTCAGCCTCCTGAGTAACTAGGTCTACAAGTGTGTGCCACCACACCCAGCAAATTAAAACAATTAAATTTTTTTTTTTATTTTAAAGATGTAGGGTTCAATTGAGAATTAGGTATACAAGTGGTCACCATACAGGTAAAGTTTGAGTCTTCCTTTGGTTCCCGCTTCACCTGGTTTGAGATCCGGTACCCTTATTGATGCTATGTTCCCCTCTCCAAAACAAATTTTCTTTTAAGATATAGGGACCTCCCAGTCCCCAATAAACTCCAGGACACCCGGGGCGGGGTGGGGGTGGGGGAGAGATAGGGTTTCCCTGTGTGGTCCAGGCTGGTCTTGAACTACTGACCTCAAGCAATTCTCCCACCTCAGCCTTTCCTCTAATTTTTTTCAGTGTAACTCAAGATCTAGCCTCCTACACTGTCTTCCAGGCTTTCAGAAGTTAGAGTGTTTTGTCTGACACTTCTTCTATCTTCCTTGTTGGTGATGAACTTGTACTGAAGGTTCAGGTTTACATCCCCCTCAGTTTGTCTGCTTCTATTTTGATGCAAATTCCTTCTTTTAGTTTTCCTTGTCAGCAAGCCCAAGAACACTGAACTGCCCTCTAGGCTTCACACCAACTTAATGAAGATTTTGCTCAAAGCCTACTCTTCCCCTTTTGAGACAACAACCTTTAATTTTTGTTGGTTCCCCTGCCTTCTTGCTTTAAGAAGGATGTTTAATTATTTTTTGGAGGCATGCTTGTTTAACTGGTTTTAGACTCTGTACACATTCCAGATTATTTGGGTTAACCTGCATTTGCCTTTATAAACTGGCAGCCAAGGGTGTAGGGTAGGGTGCGGGGCCAATTCTGATGCCCAGACATGTACTGATGAACTTGGACACATTTCTAAGAACATTGGATTATTGACCATCCCTTAAAAGTGTGGGGCTCTCCTATACAAGAGCAGATTTCTGACTTCTCTTGGAGCACTGGAAGATTTAACAAGATGGACATTGCACTTGCCAATTGGCAGCAACTGATTGGAGGAACCACTTATTGGCTGCCCCTTCTGTGTTATCTACTGGCTGGCCCAAGTGGCATTCGTGCTGCTGAGTTTATAATTTCATTATTATTTGCTTTCTCTTTTCCACTTCTCAATAGCAGTAACTTGTAGTTAACGATACTGATCACCTAGTGAAGTCGATCGTCTTCATTTACTATTACAGGCCTACCCCAGAGTGAGTCTTTAATAAATGTTGACAAATAGCACACGAGTCAGCCAATGGGTAGTCAAAGGCCAGTGGTAAATATCCTATAAAAATTTCTCTGGCTCTCTTAGTAGTACTGATGCTGGTTCACACTAGTTAGGAGAATTTCCAGTTCTCCCATGAAAGTAGACTCCTGGATAATGTGATTTGGTTTTCTTTTCTAGGAATCCTCTTCATAAATCAAACTCAGAAGACGGCTCTGTAGGTTAGTACCACTTTTTTTGGTTTACTGTTTATTTTCGTTTAATACTTTATAGAGAACATAAAACTGTGAAAATACACACAGACTCTACTCAGAAACAAGCACTGTTAAGACTTTGATGTACAACTTCTCTTTTTTATCTATTGTATAGAGTTTTTATGAAAATAATTGTAATCGTATTCTACATACTCTTTTATAGTTTTTAAAAATTGAATATATTATGAGTATTTTCCTACATAATTGACTATTCTTTTCTTTTCTTTTTTTTTTTTTTTTTTTGTGGTTGAGTTGAGGTCTCACTATGTTGTCCGTCCTGGAGTGCAGTGGCACAATCACGGTTCACTGCTGCCTCAACCTCCTGGCCTCAGCCTCCCAAGTAGCTGGAACAAGTGCATGCCACCATACCCGACTAATTTTTGCTTTTTTTTTTTGCAGAGACAGTCTCACTATGTTGCCCAGTCTGGTCTCTAACTCTTGGGCTCAGGCAATCCTCCTGCCTCAGTCTTCTTTTCTTTTTCTTTTTTTGGGTCAGAGTCTCACTCTGTCGCTCAGGCTGGAGTGCAGTGACACACTCATGGCCACTGCAGCCTTGATCAGCAGGGCTCAGGTGATCCTTCCACCTCAGCCTTTCAAGTAGCTGGAACCACAGGCACATGCCACCATGCCTGGCTAATTTTTTGATTTATTGTAGAAACAGGGTCTCACCATGTTGCTCAGGCTGGTCTTGAACCCCTGAGCACAGGCAGTCTTCTTGCCTCTGTCTCCCAAAGTGCCGGGATGACAGGCATGAGCCACTGTGCCCGGCCTCAGTCTCTTTAAATGCTGTAATTTGATTAGTGAGCCACTATGCTGGCCTGAATATTCTGTACAGCAAATTTTTAAGGCTGCATCATATGCCATCATGTTGGACGTGCTGTAATTAATTAACTAATTCCTTTTTTGGTCGATATTTAGATTGTTTCCAATTTCTTCACTATCGGGGGAAATGATGTTTCTAAAAATCCTGGCATCTCTAAAACCCCGATAAATCCTTCCTTAGGGTAAATCCTTCCGTTGGGACTTTTCTGGATCAAAGATTATGCATAATTAAGGAATTAAATGTCTTCTATATCCTTGCTTATAAAAGCCACTCTTAGTTTACTAACCTTTCTGTTTAAGTCAGAGGGTGAGTGAATAATAGTGATTAGGAACATAAGTGCTCAAATTCGGCTGCCTGGATTTGAATCTACCAACTCAATAGCCTCGGTTTTCTAATTTACTAAATGGGAACAAGGTTGCCTCATATTGTGAGCATTAAATGAGATATGCCATTAAATAGCAAAGTGCCTGGATATAGTAAGTGCTGAATAAATATTAGCTACCATTTATTTTTTAGGCTGCATCTCCATTTCAGAAACATTAAAATGGAGGGAAGGAGGAAGTCGCTATCCCTTCAGTCTAGGAAATCTATTCCCAAATTACCCAGGAGAAAGGTTGAATCGGTAACACACAATCTGCGCTAACCCTTCGCAGCTGACTTTCACTTTAGTTGGGCCCAAAGGCAACGGGCCTGCAGAGCTCACCGTGGCGATCTGGGTACTGGGAATTCTCAGGCTGAACGGCTCTGGCTTCACTCCCATAGCCTGAGGATTGTCAGAACTTAAATGAGGGCAGCGAGTTTTGACAAATCACGCCCTTTCTAGCTTGGTAGGGCATAGACAGGGCTCCCACACGTCTGTCTCGTGCAGCACTGCTTAGCATCGCCAGTCTAGACTGTGGAGACCCACCGCTTTGCTGGTCCCTGTTTTCAACAGCTGTGGAGCAACCAGACAGATACCCAATGGTGACAAAGCTGCTGTTTTGAATGTGCCACATCAGCACGATAGCAACACCCCTATGGTGGGTGGGGTGCCGCCGCCTTTTATTTCTAAGGAAGAAAGGACTATTATACCCTTTCATTTTACTTTCTCCCTTTTTCTTTACTTTTTAAAATGTGTTACCTATTACTAAAGATCAGAATACTACTAAGTATTAAAAATATCTAGCTATGGTGGCAGATTACAGGCATGAGCCACCATGCTCAGCCTCAGACTCCTTAAGTGCTGCGGTTACAGGAGTGTGCCACCACACCTGGCCTGAATATTCTGTACAGTAAAATTTTTAAGTCTTTTCGTTTGTAAGTCACCCACAGTAGCCAGGGAAGGGTGGGAGGTTAGAGGGAGACCCCGCTGGGAGACGTCACAATCAGATCACAGTCCGTTTTTCTTGTCATTGTGCCCCGGGTATGCCAAAGGTAGGTCACCAGGGAACCTGAATGCCAGAGAGGTGGGAACCATACCCATGCCATAGCTAGACCCATGCAGACTATACCCCAGAGAGAGACTGCAGGTCAAGTCCACAGACCACAGACTCTGCTATGCCAACTAGTGGGTGGAGGACATGCCAACTATTCTGTTCTCGTCATTAAATCTAGAGTAACAGAAAGAAACCAAGGGTGGATCAACAACAGGAATAACAACAAAACAAAGTGAACTTCTTAAAGTACCCTATTTGTGGTGTAGTTGAAATAATTGTGGCTAAGACCAAAGGGGGGAAATATACCACAAGACAAGGCCGAATTAGGCCTACAAATTACACAGACATCAAAGCGAATACAAGGATGCGTGTTTTGTCTGCCTTTTTGATGTTTCTTTATTTCTCATCTTAACCCCACTGAACTATTTCTTGCTACTAGGAAATTTACATTTCTTTTAAACAACTTTATAGGCATCTCCCATTCTTTCACAAACTGAACGAGAAAAACTGTCTTTTTGTGAAATCAAAGTATTCTTACAAACTTTGAATTATAAGGAAGAGGCTACTTTTGTTATTAATGAATTTATTGCTTGTGCTTTTTTCCTTTTTTTTTTTTAGGAAAAGGAGACTGGAAGAAGAAAAATAAGTATTTTTGGCAGAACTTCCGAAAGAACCAGAAAGGAATAATGAGACAGACTTCAAAAGGTATTTCAATGCAGCTGGTGGACAGTAGGTCCTTTTAGCTCTAAAATGTAAGATGCATGCTACAAGTAAGAATAAATCATAGTGTGTGCCCTTAAAAGATTCATCTTTTCTGACATTCCTATCATTACTTTAAGATTTCATCCCTGTGATTTTTTTTAAGTCAAAGCAAACAAAATGGGGAGAGTTCTCAGTCCTTTCTTTTCATAGCTCTGACAGCAAAGACCAAGTCTTTCGTTTTCTTAGTTACACCAGCCTCAGAAAGATCTTTACTTTTCTCTTACCAAGATCTAACCTAAAAGGTTTCAGAAAGCTTAGCATTTGTTGGTTTTGGGCCCTCCCATCCCCACCCTCACTTGGAGCCTTTGCATTCTTTTGAACTTTTGACGCTCTTCTGTGGTGGGACTTTCTGTGGCGGGACGTTATGGGGAGTTGCCCCTGGAGACTCTACTGGTCTGACATCATGGGAATTTGCCCAGGCAGCTTTGTAAAGGGAGTTCTGCTATGTCTTTTGTTGTTGTTTATATAGTAAGTCAATATGTCATCCCTTTGAGGCCCAGCTATATAATTTATGTTTCCCCAGTATTCAGAGAGGAAACCAGAACAAATCCATTTCCAGATTCCAGTCCAGCAGAATTAGGTTATCAATAGATAAAAGTATTTCTTCCCTCACCAGTGACATTACTTGTTTTCTTTTATAAAATCTTAGTGCCCCACACTGGTCAGGATGCCTCTCCAATGGTTTGTACACGTGGAAATGAGAAAAACGGATGTGAAACAGCAGATACGCAACGGCACACCTGGGTTCCTTGGCAACATTCTGTGTACTTCTTTTTTTTAAGTTGTCCTACTTTTAAACATTCTCAGTTTTTCCTTTTGGTACATAGCCAGCATCTTATGATTCAAAATATACCCTTGGGTTCTAATAAAGTCTTATTTAGAAAGAAAACTAAAGTGAAAGAGAAAGGGAGGGAGGGAGCCCACAGTTTACCAGCTTATGCAGATTTTTAAAGACCCCAACCTACTCCTCATCACTGCCTCTGCTATTCAAGGCGACACAGATAGTAAAATGAATCAAAACAGCAGGCTTCTGTCCTCCCCCAGTGCACACGATTATTCTTCCTGTACAAATAGCTGTGTGGTAAAGGGAACCCGGGTAGTATTTTTGGATTGATTGATTACAAAATGTAAATGAGGTAGGAAAACACAGGGTCACATAAATCCCAAAGTGGCCCTGCCTGAAATGAGTTTCTACAAGTCGGTAGCCAGATTCTTTAACTCTGTCCCTCTGTACCAAGAGCAAATTTAGCCACAGCCAGGCATCCTAATGACACCGGAAGCTGGAAGAGTATGTGTAAGAAGGATGGAGCGGAAGGAGCAGGGTGGAGGACTGGGGGCTCATGCTCTGTTTGCAGTTTGCAGCTTACTTTTCACTGATGTATCCTTCCCCACACTGACCAGGTTGCAGCTTACTTTTCACTGATGTATCCTTCCCCACACACTCAAGTATATTAGAGGCAATGACAGTCTATGTTCTTGCTGGAAAAACTTGAGAAGCAATGTAAAGTGTGAATCTTTTCTCTGCAATTCTCGCTGCCTTCTGTTTTGAGGTGGAGACTGACTCTCCCTTACAGCTTGGAGACCTATTTATGACAATCCTACGTTTAGATACAGACAAACAGAGTACCATTCTTCTGATGAACTCCATTTGCGTCGTATCTGGGATTTTATTTGTTTGCATTTGTCTTGTAAGGAATAACCATAGCCTAATAGCTTAGTAGGAACAGAAGTATTTAACGGGCTGTGGGTTTGGACTCTGTGACCTTACCTTCCTCTGTCATGACCAGGGGTTCTCTTCCACTCTGAAAATATTTCTTTCTCATTTGTATTTCAAATGGAAGGACACAGAAACTCCACAGCTAAAGCAGCCTGGGAATAATGTCAAATCTAGCTGGATGCTTCAATTAGGTCTCTGCCCCACCTGTAATGAGGAACTCTGTCACTTTTCTTCAGAACGCCTCCATCAGGTCTCAGAAACTCTGATCATGTTGAAGGATTTGTTTCTATTGCAGCATCCACATTTTCTGGGAGCCTGTTTTCCAATCACGGGTGTTCATTGGCTTCCTAAAAAGTAGCACATGTGTTTCTGCAATCCTGTTGCTCCATCAGTAACAGACAATGTCTCTGAGCAACATCCTTCCCTAGTGCAAGAGCTTGGACTTTCAGCACGGGCAGTCTGTTTCACCTTTCTTGTTTTCAGTCCTGGTATTCTTTGTCCTCAATCTCCAGGAGAAGATGTTGGTTATGTGGCCAGTGAAATAACAATGAGCGATGAGGAACGGATTCAGCTAATGATGATGGTCAAGGAAAAGATGATCACCATTGAGGAAGCACTTGCTAGGGTAAGTGTGCAGATACTTGGTTTATATTTGGAAGGACTTAGCCTCCTGACATTTTTAAGTTTGGGGGACCTTCACGGGGTATAGAGATAAAGTATCTAAAGTATCATTTTGATGATATTTTGGTGGTCATCAGGTACCCACATTGTCAGATACAATAAAATATTTATTCTGTTTCCTTGGTACAAGCATTCCACCTTTTTAGGTAAAACCTTCCAAGACTGGGTGTGCGGTGGCTCATGCCTATAATCCCAGCACTTTGGGAGGTCGAGGTGAGAGGATTGTTTGAGCCTACGGGTTTGAGACCAACCTGGGCAACTTGGTGAGACCTCACCTCTACAATAAATCAAAAATTAGTTGGGCATGGTGGCACATACCTATGGTTCCAGCAACTTGGAAGGCTGAGGCAGAAGGATCAACTGAGCCTAGCAGGTTGAGGTTATGGTGGCCATGAGTGTGCTACTGCACTCCAGCCTGGGCGACAGAGTGAGACTCCACTTCAAAAAAGAAAACTTCCATAGTCAATGAATACATAAATTAATAGCAGTTATCTTTGATCTGTGGACCACTTTAATGAAGAAAAGTGACCTTCTAAATGCCATTGTAGCTGGGTGCGGTGGCTCATGCCTCTAATCCCAGCACTTTGGGAGGTCAAGGCAGGAGGATTACTTGAGCCCAAGAGTTCAAGACCAGCCTAGACAACTTAGCAAGACCTAGTCTCTACAAAAAATAAAAAAGTTAGCCAGGCATGGTGTTGTGCACCTGTAGTCCCAACTACTCGAGAAGCTGAGGTGGGAGTGTTACCTAAGCCCAGGAAGTCAAGGCTGCAGTGAGCCATAATTGTGCCATTGTACTCCAGCCTGAGTTACAAAATGAGACCCCAACTCCAAAAAAAAAAATGACATTGCAAAATTTATAAGCCTTTTGAAAAGATTAAAAATGTAATCAATGGTAAAAATAATTATTAAATAAAAATTAAATAGTTAAATATACTGTAAGCATTGTAAGCATCAGTTCTATTGAACTCCTTTTTTTCCCACCCTGTGCTCAGGCAATCCTGCACCCAGCACATATTTTGATTTTTATAGGGACAAAGTCTCACTATGTTGCCCAGGCTGGTCTCAAACTCCTGGACTCAAACAATCCTCTCACCTTGGCTTCTCAAAGTGTTGGAATTATAGGCGTGAGTCACCACATTCAGTCAAAGATTGATCTTTGAGTAATCTGAAGTTGATGCTTCATATATACCTTAAAATATTGCTTACTTTTATAGCTAAGTAAATATTGATTGCGGTTAATTTTGTCATTTTCCCCCCTGAGTTAAATTAGCCACCAAAAGAAGCCCTATTAGCTTTTAGGATACTGGAATAGCATTTGTAATAGTGAGGCTGTAATTTGTTAAGAGAATCCCTGCTTTCTTGTTGACCAACAAACTGATACATTCTTAGTGTCTCACTTTGAATAGTTGATTCAGTACTGTGTAGGTAAGTCACAAATAAGCAAGTGTAGAAACTAATGAAAACCTTCAAATCACTAAAGAAAAACTGAATTAGTTATGACTTTACCATTGTCTTAGTTCATTTTATGCTGCTAGAACAGACTGTCACAGATGAGATTTTACAAAGAACAGAAGTTGATGGGTTTCCAATTCTAGAGACTGGAAAGTCTAATGTCAAGAAGCCCCAACAGGCTTGGTGTTAGTTGAGATCATTCTCTTCTTGCAAGATGACACTGGGCATACTATCATCTGCAGGGGAAGAAGGCTGAATGCTCAAATGGCATAAAGTGGAATGTCTAAGAGGCAAAAGAGGGCTGAACTCACTCTTTTATAATGGCATTAATGCCGCCCTATCACCTTCCAAAGTCCCACTCCTAATACCACCACAATGGCTACCAAATATCAACATGTGTTTTGTAGGGGACAAACATTCAACCCATAGCAAACCATTAGGTGATATCTTAGATGTCTGACACCTTGAAACAATGACAAGCATACTCAATTTAGTTTAGTATACAGTAGTCTCCCATTATCCACAAGGGATGTGTTCTAAGACCCCACCTGGATATCTGAGACCATGAATGGTACTGAATCTTATATATACTTTTTTCCCCCTGCACATACCTACTCCTGATAAAGTTTAATTTATAAATTAGGCACATTAAGATGTTAACAACAATAATGAATTATAAAAGGAGCAATTATAACAATATACCTTATAAAAGTTATGTGAATGCTTGTTCTCTCTTTGTCTTTTAAAATATCTTATTGTTCCGTACTTGTTTTTGGACTAAAGCTGGCTGTGGGTTACTGAACTGTGGAAAACAAAACCACAGGTGAGGGGGAACGACTGTACTTGATGTTGAATCTCAGTCTTTTTTTTTTTTTAATGTTTATTTGATGTTAGGTACAGGGGCTCTTGCCTGTGATCCCAGCACTCTGGGAGGCAGAGGCTGGAGGGTTGCTTGAGCTTGGAGTTTGAGACCAGATTAGGCAACACAGCAAGACTTTGTCTCTACAAAAACCAGAAAAATTAGCAGACATGGTGGTACACACCTATAGTCCCAGCCACGCGGGAGACTGAGGTGAAAGCATTGCCTGAGCCTAGGAGTTAGAAGCTGTGATGAGCTGTGATTGTACCACTGCACTGCTGCTTGGGCAACAGAGTGAGACTCTGACTCAAAAAAAAAAAGTTTAATTTGTTACTGGGCCCGTGTTGCAAAGAAGGGTATTTATGTGGTGTGGAGGGTGTGACTAGGCTTTGTAGGAGACCTGGAGTCTAGGACAGCCTTGGGATGCTCACCTATGGCTTCTCACCTGTGGATTTGGAGACTTCCAAACTGAGGGGTAGCAGTGTCCAGCATGGTGTTGCTGACTTACTGTAGATAAGCAGGTTGGCATTGGGGCAGGTAATGAAGCAGGTGACCTCTCGTCCACGCTGCTGATCACCTGGGCCTTCATCTCAGCCTGGTCTGCTTTGCCATACCACTGACCACCTGGTCCAGCTACTGACCCAGACAAAAAGACCACCATATATTTTTTCTCTCCAATTTCATTTGTTGGGCATGCCACAGCATTTAGGAAATGTTAAATGAGTTCTTAGAAAGCGCATGTGAGAAGTGTGGACCTATTTGTATTGTTGCCATGGTGAGCAAATGTTCACATACCTCCAGGGAGTGATGTTACTGCACCACTTTTTGATAGTAAGCTGAAGTTACAAGTGCAGACGGTGTCCACATTACAACACCCATGTTTGGGAAATAAGTTGTGTATGATGTGGTTTCAGTGTTCTGGGAGCAAGTAAAAATTTTTATTTTTTTTTATTTTTTGAGTTGGAGTCTCACTCAGTCACCCAGATTGGAGTGCAGTGGCCGCTCCTGGCCACCACAGCCTCGACTTGCTGGGGCTCCGGCGATCCTTCCGCCTCAGCCTTCTGAGTAGCCAGAATTACAGGCGTGCGCTACCACGCCCGGCTAATTTTTTGATTTATTGTAGAGATGAGGTCTTGCCAAGTTGCCCAGGCAGGTCTCGAATCCACAGCCTCAGGCAATCCAATCACCTCAGCCTCCCAAAGCGTGGGATTACAGGCTGAGCCACTGAGCCTGTTTTCAAAGTGGCTTTCAGATAGCCCACTTTAGACAGCAAGTTCCTTTAGTTGAAAACAAAGGAATACTTTCAAGTTGAGGAAAGAGTGGTGACGAAAATGTGTCTGTAGCTCATCATTTAGCAGCTGGCCTTGGTTTATATGGAAAGGAAAACAGAAGTCGTCAACTCCATGAGTTGAGTGGAGTTGGAGTGATACAGCTGTACGCAGATGTGGGAGGAGGCTTTAGTCCTATGCCAGCATGGCTGCCGCTAGGTTGCCTGCCTTTGCCTGGTTACAGATAAAACTACAAAGCTCGTTGAGAGATCAAGAATATGGTTCATAAGTTAATCCAGAAACGCAGAGGAAAATGTTGGTGCCATTCTCCCAACTTACTAGAATCTGCACCCAAGGATGGGCACCCCTTGACAGATGAGGTAGCAATTTGCAGGGCTGCTTATTGGACCACTCTTCTCTCTTTTTTTT